TCTCTCGCCAGACTGTTGGCCAGGCATTTTCTGCCTGTAACATAGGGATGATTATACAGAACTTCCTTTCCAGCGCTTTAAGATCTCTAACCCAAGTCTGTAAATATCAGGTTACACCATGCAGTCCCCACGCAGGTGTAGTACTTACACAGCTCGAGGTGGTAGGAAAACCACAGGTCTACCAACATCAATGCACCTTCATTAGGGAGCTGTTTCTGAATCCAGATAATTAAGAGCAGAATAAAACCTGTACAGCTTTACAAGCATCGCCTGTAGGGTCCCCGATGTCCTTTCACGTGATACCCTGCTTGAGAACCTCCATTCCACCCACTGCCTGGCCCAGCTTAGATCGTGGGTTTCAAGGAGCTCACAGCCCGGCTGTCATGCCTTCCAACTACACTGCATTGCAACCTCTTCTCTATGCCTCCTGCAGGGAACTGCATGAGTGAGTTCATGGGGCTCATCAAAGGCCACTACGAAGCAAAAGAGGAAGGCTTCCAGCCTGGAGGGGCCAGCTTGCACAGCATGATGACTCCTCACGGGCCGGATGCTGACTGTTTTGAGAAGGCGAGCAAAGCCAAACTGGAGCCGGAGAGGGTTGCAGAAGGGACCATGGTAAGGAGCCAAAGGAGCTAGTAAGATTTTGAATACAGCATGGCATAGTGCCCCTGTGCCACTCTCAAAGTACAGCCTAGCTTCTTGCTGGCAAGTTGGAAAAGTACTTGGACCAAACTGCTGCAGCATTCACCCGCCTTACCGATCAGCACCGTTCAACTCCCAGGAGCTCCCCTGGAGACATGCAGTGCCAGGCAGCTTTGATCATCTGCCCACATAAATTGTTGCCTGAGCAGGAAGCTGGGAATTTTCATGCTGATTAATTTAATTTTTGTCTTAGCCTGTGAACAAAGAAGCGAAACCCCTGACTGTCCTCCTTTCTCCACCCCCTAAAATCTAATGATGATCATCAACAGACCTTAAACTAGAACTTTTGGAACAATCTGGCTTTCCTGGGCATGCAGGGAGTGCAAAGCCACTCCTGAGACCTGGTTAATACCAGCGTTGCAATGCCAGCTCTGAAGAGCTTTCTCCTCCTGGGTTGATCAGGCTGGAGGTAGCACTTGGCAGCGCTGGACCATGCTAACAACTCCTCTTTGTGGCACAGCAGAGCCACCTTGCCTGGGTTGAAACTCTCACCATCTTGCCCTAACCTACCTTTCCTCTTCCAAACAGGCCTTCATGTTCGAATCATCCCTCAGTCTTGCCGTCACCAAATGGGGCCTCCAGACCTCCAACTGCCTGGATAAAAACTACTACAAGTGCTGGGAGCCTCTGAAAAGGCATTTCAACCCTAAGTGCAAGTAAACTGAAGTATTTGTTGCTTGCAATAAGTGAGTGAAGGCAAGGAAATCCAGTATACCTACATGTGGTGGCACAGTCGACTGGGGCGAGAGTGCTCCAGCACAGAATGGCATTTCCAGCAGCCATCAAGCCACAGAAATGATCATCCCTATGTAACTTGGGAAATGCAGTAAAAATACCCCACTGTTCTTAACTTTCCAGTATCTAATTAAACCTTTCCTGGTGACATGCTGAAGCTGAAGTACTTGTGCGGCTCTCACCATGTGTAGTTGGTGTGAATGCTGGACCTTGTGTGGACATGAGGTGACAGCCAGCCCCCATTCACAGGGCCTCCTGAAAATACAACCTGGTGTATCTTTCACAGGGAGAAGCTAGGGATCAACACAGCATTTTATGCTGCCTGTAGGGGAAGAGCTTTACGAACAGCTGAAGGCTCCACCAGACCCAAGCCTCCTATTAGAGCAGGCCACTTCAACCTGCTGATCTGTGGAGGGTTGCTAAGGAAAGACTTAATTGTCAGAAAAGTAGACTGCAAATTAGAAAAGGTTGGAGAATCCAAAGCGCTTCACTGCTAAGTGAGGGAAAGTTTCCTTTCCAACCCCATGCTCTGGCCTTCCTTCAACATCCAATTGTTTGTCAGCACTTGACAAATTCTCTCCCTAGTTACGTGCTAATTTGCAGCACAGCAAATGTGAAAGGGCTTGTCTGGTCAGTCCAGGCATTTGCTCCTGGGAAGGTACCTGGAAGAAAGCTCAAGTGCAGACAACATTGTGGAGGACCTCAAAATTCATTGGAGTATGCAAGCCTCAGCCCCAGGTGGTGAGTTCCACAGGGTGGAGGCAGAAAGCCAAGCTCCAAACAGGGTGGAAAGCAGAAGCACAGCCCAGGCACCCCAAACCTCAAGCCTGCACTTATCACTTACCCACATGAAACAGTTACTAAGCTTGGTGCCATCAGGATCTATGTTTCTTACTTCCCAAGAGAAACAATCCTCAATTTTCCAAAAGAAAAGGAAATGTAGAACTCCGACATCTGACTTCAATCAGTTACATCCATCATCAGTTTTGGATCTGCACCAGATCCTTGGGGAAAAAAAAAGCATCAGCTTCGAGCAAAGTATTACATTATAAAATCTACAGGGAGATGTTTACTCTAAAATAGCCAGCTCAGAAAAGGGCATTCAGGAGAATCAATTTGCCAGAGAAGCTGATTTAATCAGACTGATTCAGGGATAGATGAGGTCTAAATGTTTCACAGGCAGAGGGGAAAAGCTTGTTTTCTGTTTGAGACCTAAATTATCATCCAGTGACCCACAGGCTTGAGTTTCTCTTGCTATGGACTCATCACTGAAGCAGACACTAGTGGTTACACATCAGTCAAGGGTAAAATTTCACAAGGCACATTCATCTCCTGTCTTCACCCCTGCATTTCTGAAGGGAAACTCCCCTTTCCTTGCTCTACCTGCCCAGCACCACTCAGTGGCCTCAAACCACTGACCCCACCTCCAGTAGCATAGCACATTAGTTCCTTGCAAGAGAACAGCTCAAAGAGTTCTGCAAATAACGAGAAAAGTAGGGCAGCCTTTCCCCAAGCACCATCTTCAAATCTGCAGGGACATAGCATCAGACACTCTCATCTGCAAAGGAAAGGGCTGTGGCATGTGCTGCGAGCATCAACCCGAGGCTGGCCTAAAAGACTAGGCGCACTGCGCTCATCTACAACCCATTCTGAACCATTTGCTCAACTGGCCTGAAACAAATACAGCTGCAAGGGAGAATTTACATGTGTGGCAACTCAAGTTCCAATTAGCTGAGGAAATGGGTCCTGGGAGATCAAATTAGTTTGTGGCAGCAGGAAGATAGTTAATTTAGCATGCTCAGACAAGCAATTATTCCTTTCCCTAAATACCACTTTCTCCATGCATTGATGCCTCTCTGCACCGACCCACAGCCATATCTTGTAATATCATTTGTGACAGTCTTTGAGAAGCTGATCTGCAGAGAGAATAATCTGGGATTGCTTTAGTTAAGCTAGCAGAAGCAGCCACAGAGACAGGTGCAAGAGGGTTGCTGGGAGCACATATGGGATTGCAAAAGCAGGCTACCACCTGGCACAGGTACAGCACGCAGCATTAGTGCCAAGCTCCCCACAGCCTGAATGTTTCATGACCCAGACAGGAAAGGAAAATGCTGTAACAGGAAACACTTTAAAAAAAAAAAAAAATAAAAATAATCAGGAAATGCATTTTTACTGTGAGGGTGACTGAGCACTGACATAGGTTGCCCAGAGAGGTTGTGGAGCCTCCGTCCTTGGAGACACTGAAAAGCGATCCGGACATGGCCCTGGACAACCCCTTCTAGGTGCCCCTGCACAAGCAGGGGGTCAGACCAGATGACTTCCAGAGCTCCCTTCCAACCTCAACTGTTCTGTGATTATGTGAAAATGCTCATCAACTCACTCTGATGGAGAGGGACTGCAAATGGCCCATATTTATATCACAATCATGCAGGAAACGGACTCAATAGAGCTGCTTTTACTGACTTCACATAGGCTGCTTTCCCAGCAGGCAGACGTAAGTTTCCAACTTTTGCATTGACTGAGCTTTTGGCTTTGACCTCAACATTTGGGAAGAAACCGCTCCCCGCTCCCATATAATGTCTGAAGAATGAGGGTTGTTTGGATCATGATGGCACCTACAGGCCATGTGAAAATTCAAGTCTCAATTAAAAATCTTTTCCTTGCACTCACATTTCAGTGCTTTTGACAGTAACAATTCCAGAGCCCCCTGTACCAGCTGACCCAGGCAGAAAAGACTTGTGTTCTTATAAGAATAAGCAGACAAGGCATCTTTGCAGGCACAAGGTTCAATTATGCTTGGTGTTTTGTTTTTTTTAATCAGGGCTCATTTGCAGGGATGAAATGGAATTGTCCTACACTGTAAGGGAATCAGTGTCAAAAATAAAAATCCTTATGGTTTTACTTGTTGTCGCCTCCCCCCCACCCCCCCCGCCCAGAATCACAGAATTAGTGGAAATGCTAGTCACATATAGCATGACTATGTTCAGCTCATTATTTCCAAGTCTGGTATGGTAATTTTATCCAGAAGTTTACTGCAATAAACAAATACATTGTTTAGGCTTGTATTTTATTAGAGAAAAGAAAAATTAACTGAACTTATTGAGAGCAGTCAGGCAGACTCCTAAAGCTATTAAAAATGTATCACAGAACTTGCCTATTAATCCGATTATGGCAAACTACATAGTCAAACTGACGCCAACAAGAAATATCTAGTAGGCAAGCAGTAGTTCTTTAGGAAACTGCTTTGGGCTTGCTTAACATTTCAGCCTCCCTACTACTAATTTTAAACTTCAACCTGTGCTGCTCTGACAGCAGCAACTTCCGTAGTTTAAAAGGACTCTCTGTATGTAGACCAAAGGAATGCACTAGTTGAGTTCAGGACACCCTCTCTATATCTATCTGCATTAGATATAAAGATCCTGCATTTCTGCACTTTCCGCAATTGTTAAAGATGCAAGACAACCAACGAGCAATTAAGATTTATTCTTATGAGAGAGAAACGTCAGCACACAATACATCTTTCTTTATTTATATCCCATGAACAGCACTGCAATTCCAGGAACTTAAAATAGACTGAATGGTCGCTCGTATTTACCTTCTCTGATAAGCTTCTCTTTATGATCCTGTGGAAGAAACACAACATTCATCATTATCCTATTAGAGAAGTTTCAATCAGCCTGGGATAAAAAAAAAGCAGTTCTAGTATTTCAGCATGGACTACAGGAAGATAGCACCACATATGATCTTAAGGGTCTTTTCCAACCTAAATGATTCTATAACCACAAACTCTGGTAACAGCTGTTGTGGTTAAAAAAGTAAAAATGAACAAGACATCTGGCTTTCACCTACCAGCTACATAAGACGCGCTCGGATTGACCTCTCCACACATTTAGCCACTCTCATAGGCCAGTAGAGACCAATTCCTGTGATGTATTTCTCACCAAAATAGTTGTGTCACAGTTATTTTATGCATTTAATTTCTACCTCCTCCTCCTCCTGACTGAATAATCCAGCTTAGAGATCTAATTATAGAGAAACTTCTTAATAACTTGCCTAAATGTGCCTGTGTTCACTTTCAGCCCACTTCTATCTCACTCTGCAGTCATGTACCTTTCTGACAGGTATTGTTACAGTACACAGACAATGCATATATTGCCCAGACTCCTTCTGCTGGATAAAAACACAAGACTTGCTTAAGACTTAGCAATTTATCTCTTGCTTTCCTAGATACACAACAAACACTCCTCATAGAAGAGAGTATAATAGCTATTGTGCTTTATATACCACCAGAAACCCAAGAAAAATCTCCAACATCAGTAAAGGAACTGGAATAAAGGAAGATAAATTGTCCTGGAGACAATATTAATGACTTCAAAAGTCATTCATGTGGGCAAGTACATCTAGATTTCACTTACACAGGTTTATTTTCAAGCACTGACATGCTAAGACACACTTGGTGGCTAAGCCCAAGTGTGGCTTCACATACAAAACAAAACCAGCACGACAAAATACTGCAGAGATGCCCAAGTCTCAAAAACATTTGTATCAACATGCTCAGCATGTCTCCTAAAGCCTGTATTTTTGATTCATCCTAGCAAACAACATTCTCTACAAATATTCTATTAATTTTAATTGATGTTTGTGCTTCTTGATTTATGACTTGATCTAAAAATGCTACTTTTGTGCAAAAGAGCGAAACAAAAGTGCTTTTAAATAGCCACAAATTCACTAGTAAAAACAGCCGCTGTCTGCCAGTCACCTAGCATTTTCTCATGCATGTATATAGCTAAGCTTTTCCAGAATGATCTACTATTGCTCAGATTCTGACACCCACATTTCAGGAGTTAGAATAGAAGCAAGATAAATCTTCCAAAATTTTAAACACCCAGCTGAGATCAGGCACTGCAATCAGCATAAGTACTCCTCCCATCTGCTGCATGAGATTAGAGAAATGGTCAAGCAATTCAGAGACACTGCTAGCTCTGCCACCCATAAGCTCCCTATTTATTTTAAAAAGTGCAGTTACATGCTTTCAGTATTCAGAAAATACTGAATAATTATTTTCAGTATTTATTAACTGAAAATAATAGTCTCTTATGATTAATTTACACTGTCAGTGCTACAAAGAGCTTTATCAGGGAAAGTGTAACTGGCCATACACACGGGTACAATACAGGGCTCTTAGCACAACAGGACTTGGCAATCACTTATAAGGCTTTGAGATAGCAGGCTCAGTATCAGCCTTCCTTCCCTCATTACTTTAATGATATTAATCATTCTTAGGTGCAAGAGGATCCCACCAACGAAGTCTCCAGGCAGACCTATATTTTACAATCTGGTGTTCACTGACGTTCAGTGTTGCCAACCGACTTACTCTCTCAGCTTTGAAGACGGCAATCCAGAAGAGGACAGGGCCTATCCCAAAAAGAGCTCCTAGAAACGACGTCTTGGGTGTCGGGCGGAAAGTAGGGTATACGTTCTGCGTCCTAGCATAGGCCCAGCGGACCAACGCGGGATCTTCCTGGGGTGGGAAGAAAACCACAGTGAGGCCCCAGGGGCCCTG